GTGGAACATACCTGGTAATGACATATTATCTTCTTCTATTCAACAACCCGATTATGCTAGCTGTTGCTCAACATGTCAAGCAATTTATAGGTGTAGTGCTTTTACATATTCGGCATCAAGTCAACAATGTCGGCTGAAAACAAGTATGGGCAATGGTGGAAACTCAACTGACGATACTATCACTGGATATAATCGTGAGTCTCTCAACTCTCTGTTTTGACGTGTCGTATGATGAGGAGAGAATCTCAATAAACGAGACTAGTTCCTCAAAGTTTACTTGATGATTCGAAAAAGCGTTTGAAAGAAATATAAATTTTGCATAACTTTCTTGTGATACGTTTCTTGATAAAAAAATTAGCATGTAGAATGTCGGAAAATCTCTCTACGTGAATGGAAGAATTTATTCGAGACTGTACATGGGAGTCTGAAAGATTGATATATAGCTGATTGTCAGTGTGATACGTTTTCAATCACAATCTGTTGCTTCTTAGACATAACTAACACGAGGAACTTTCATTTATGGGTAAGCGAAACAAAGAGCTACTTTACATGTCTGTTACCGATTTTTTCTTCTCCTTTATTGCAGGAACGCCATTCGAGAAAAAAATTAGGTGTTTCGCTCTCTTTGTTGCAACTAGCTTTCGGCGATATGAAAGATGAAATATTCTATCTTTGTTTTGCGAAATAGCATTGAACCGGCAAGAAAAGAAAAATAAAATGAGGAAGCAGAAAAAGAAAAGAATAGATTAGAAAATGAAAAAAGCTCTGGATGAGACGAAACTCGCGTCCTTGCAGTCAGCAAGGACAGATTCAGGCAGCTGTGTCACTGCACAACTAGATTTTTAATACTATTTTGCTTCAAGTTTTCGGGATCACTGCTTCTGATTTGTGGACATAAAGAAAATTAGGATCATAAAATTTGGTTGAATATAGTGGAAATGCTGAAATGTATAGCAATTTGTAGTGTACGAGGAATGACTATGGCTTTGGCCTTATTTAAGAAGAATTTCAATAAAAACCAAAGCGAATTTTCACTGAGATTTCATCCCAATTCTTATTGCCAACTGAGTATTCATTATGAGTGTGAAGTGGATAAAAAGGAAGAGGGATGACGGTTAAAACAAGATGCATACTCATCTCATATTTTAGGGGCACCGCCTTTGCAACATCATTGTCTCTTTAGTTTTGATTTTTGTATATAAATACACAAGCATGTCGATTGATTTATGTCCATTTGATTTTCAATCCCATGTTATGATGCATATTTGATCGCAGTTTCAAGCTTAAAGAAAAAAGCTCATCACATTCATAATAAAAATGACATCTAACGAACTATATTACCTGCAATAAATTAAAAAGAAAAAGAAAAACACTAGTTTACCACGCTCTATATATGTAACAGTACATCGAACAGAAATCATGAAATCTAATATTTAGGAAGCTCTATAAATCGCAGATAGGGGAACGTAGTACTGAAGTTATGCACTTAATAAATATTAGTGTCACAAACTTTTTCAAAAATTCAAACGAAAATTTGAAGCTTTTATTTAAATTTTTTTTACTATGTTACCTCATAAAAGAAGCTCCCTTAAACTCAATGTAAATGTTTCCAAATTTTATACAAGAAAGTCGCGAGACTTAAAATTTTTCTCCATTCTAGTGATTCAAATTAGAAAAGAAATTAAAATTGAATCTAGTAGTTGTTCGATATCGATCTGAGGCTCACAAATGAGAAGACACGTTTTGGAATGCAACGCAGGTATTAGGGAGAAAGACTCTAAGCTCTCACATTCTTGTCACTCATGAAAATCTTTTAGTATTCACCATTTACGAGGAGCTGAGTGACGATAAAATAGGAAAGAGGAAAGCACACATTCGAGCAAGAATACAGTAAATACAGCTACTTTTTTCTCCAATCTTTCTTCCACATAGTAAGTGCTATTAACTTATTCCTTCATTTATGTTCTCGCAGCGAACATGTGTGGCAGTTTCATGCGTAAAGACAACTGGGATATACCTGGAAATAACATATTATCTTCTCCTATAAAACAACCTGATTATGCTAGCTGTTGTTCGCAATGTCAAGCAACTTCTGGATGTATTGCTTTTACATATTCACCATTAAGTCAACGATGTTCGCTGAAAAAAAGTATGGGTACTGGTGGAAATGCAACTGGCGACAGCATTTCTGGTTACTATTGTAAGTAAATTAATTTTGGTTCAGCGTCTGATACATTTCGTATATGAGGAGAGAGGTATTGGTTGTAGGATTGCATGCGCTTGTGAGCATGGATGCTGATATAGAACATAGATTTCGTTAGATATGACTGTAGCTGTGAGTATGTAGTGTAGGATGCATATGTGTTATCACATATCAGAGAACGCTACGCAAGATGAAATTGATTTAAATAAGCGACACATCGTACAATGTTAAATGTTAGATCGAGTGAGTTGTACATTTTAGGAATGCAGCATGATTTCAAAATCAATTTTGAAAAACTCATGAATCATAACGATAATTCGTACAAAAATAATAGAAGTTTATTAAAATTAATTTTTTATTTTTTTTATCTTAAATATTTTTCTCCTGAATGGATGGAACGTCATTCTGACCCATATAGACAAGAGTCATTCCAGAACCAGATTGAAAATCGGTTATAAACAAACACGAATTATTTTAATCTGATTCTTGAACAAGTTTGTCTTCATGGACTAAAAGTCTATTTGTAGAAATAAATATATTTTAAAATTCTTTCTTCATGTATGAAAAAGACACATTATATGGCTATATCTTTACGGCACTATCGTAAATATTTTTATGAATGAATTCCATTACTCGACTTTTTCTGGTTACACCACTTGTATCATAGTCTTTTAAAGATTTAGTGTTTTCATCGAATATTGCAGTTATGTGTGAAGCGTACTCGAATATCACTACTAGTGTCTATATTTCATCTTTCTATTCATTTCTTACAGCATAATAGAGATTTTATGGTTTTTTATTGTTTTCCTTTCGCGTCAATAAATATTCTGAAGAAATGTATAGCAAGCTAGGGATAAAATTACACATGATTAATAACTTCAATTCTATAGTGACATCCAAAAAGTTCAAACTTGTTTCTGATTTTTTTTGTCCTATTCTGTGATTAAGGTCCTACCCTTTCCAAAACACTTGATTTAAGAAAAGATGAAAAACTGAGTTTTCATCATGAAAAGATGCGCCAATATCTCTTCTTCCCGAATATATTCTATCACATTACTTTTCTTTTACATAGTAATCCGATAGTTATACATGTATTAAAGAAGTTTTAGGCTGTGCTACCATACTGCTGTTGAGAAATTTTCATTAAAAAAAACGTCTATAAGGACCTAGAAAAGTGGTGGTTTTCCTAAATTGATTAACGAGTTCTATTGAAATTATTATGCTAAAAATTTAGAACAAATTATTGCTAAAAGTATCAAGTTGATAGTCACTTATAAATAACGAATACGGAAAATGCATCATCATACTAAAAATAAAATATAAATGCACTAGTTGAGAAGAAGACGTCAGAACACTATACACGAAGTTTCATGATTTTATTCATTAGTCTAAATACCTAAAAAGTAATGTTGTTTCAATTCTGACTTCAACTCAGTTTTTTTCGTAATTCGATGCAGATGTCTATCGATAATCATACTTCGAGAATCTTGTCTAAGAAGTTTGTAAATAAGTAGTTTTCAATAGTTTCTTGTTTCTTGCAAGCTTTGAATCGAAAACCGATTTCTAAACTTATGTCGGTTTTTTCTAACTTGGCGATGTAACATGCTATGTCAGACATTAATTATTTCGATTTCAAAAAATTCCAAAACAATCTTGTAACACATTTGAAAGTGTAAGAAAATATACTTTTTTATTCAGGAAAAAATAAATATCGATAAATTTTTGAAAATGTATACTTTAAACATTAATTGCCGTAATGCTCTCTGTAATTTTTTGTTTTGTATCTTATACCATAAAATCAAGAACTGTACAGTTTAGTGTCTAGCTCCGAATCCAGAGCATCAAAGAAATATTTTGTAAACTACTAAAAACGATATTTCTTGTTTTTTGCTAAAAATTCAAGACTTATGTCGTTTTCTCCACATTGTAATATTCTCTATAAATCAAACTGAATTAAAATTTTTGTGAGAGAAAGAAAAGGACCTTATTTTAAAATTTCTGTGAACCCCTTACGGATTATCAGTAAACAAAGTAGAGACTACAACTAATTCTTCAAGATGAATTGGATACACTACTTTTTTCTCCTAAAAGACATTGTATCTTAATGTAGATGAACGTAGCGTTATTACGAAAACCCCGATTTTCAATTTATATAATTCAGTTCGTAATTGGAATATTACAAGAAACAAATAGAGACAGCATTGAATTGAAACATGATTTGACCATTTAGCTTTACATATTTAATGTGGTTACAAGTCTCTCTTAAAATCTCTAACATTTGTTTATTTTCCAATGTTTCTGAATATGATTAACCAAATGTTATAGTAACTCGTAGAGACATATTGAGAAAACATTTTATATAGCGCAGATACATATTTGAAGAAATCAGTAACAACGGGGCTGTGTTATCAAACGTTTTCAATTGCTCGATCGCTCTTGCGTCCGAACTATGATGCATAATATAAACTCCACTAAAATATGAAAATCTTGAAAATGATAAATTCTCTAAATTTATTTTGTACAGACTTGTAGAAATTTTGCTACAATTTTAGTCTATCATATTGTATATGTATCTAAATACTGAATGACAGTATGTCGAGTTAAGATTATACTTATAGATAGATCATGTATTTGTAAGTAAAATGTTTTTGACAGCTTCAGCGCAAACACAAATTTTCCTTGCTGAGATATTAAAGCCCACAAAAAGTGAAAGTTCTAGCATCTTTCGCGGAATATGAATGATTTTAGTATACATTAATATTTTAGGAAGCAAAACATTGTGCTTCAATTGAAATTTTTATGACATTTTATTCTTAAACAAACTTGTCTATGGACATAATTTCAACTCGAAATACAATAATTCTATTTGTTAGTATACAGATATATATATATACTGTATATCACGATGCCATATACTATGAAGAAAACTAAAAAGAAATAAAATAATTTTCTGATAGTGCTACTCTCTACTATCAAAAAAGAAAATCGATGCGAGCCAAAACTGGGAACGATATTGATTTTGCGAAAATTCAAATGTACTTTACGCTCTTTCACTCTATACTCTCTCTCTTTTCTTTGGCTCTTATTCCATGCTCTCTTTTTTTTCTATTTCAGTCTATCCATTACGTGGAAGTTCAATTGACATTCATCCAAATGCTCAATGGCAACAGGATGGTATCACTGTGGCTGGAGGCAATGGGAAAGGCAATTCACTCAATCAATTCTCTCTCCCATGGGGTTTGTATGTTGACGATGATGAAACAATCTATGTTGCTGATTATGAGAACCATCGTATTATGAAATGGGGATCGGGTGCGACGAGTGGCCAAGTGGTTGCCGGTGGAAATGGAAAAGGAAATGGAGATAATCAGTTGTCTTATCCATATGATGTAATTGTCGACAAAGAGAGAGATTATCTCATCATCTGTGATTCTTTGAATAAAAGAGTGGTTCGATGGCCTCGTCTAGATGGAACAAGTGGAGAAACAATCATCTCCAACATTGGTTGTTGGGGTTTGACAATGGACGAGTATGGATCTCTCTATGTCGTTGACGATGATAACAATGCAGTGAGACGATATAAAATTGGTGACGCTGAAGGAACAGTGGTTGCAGGTGGTAATGGACGAGGAAATCTTCTCAATCAATTCAACGGACCCCGCTACGTATTTGTCGATCGACATTATTCGGTTTACGTATGTGAGAGGAACAATAATCGTACAATGAAATGGGCAGAAGGTGAAAAGTTAGGCATTATCGTCGCTGGTAGTGCAGAATCCGGAAATGATCTTAGACAATTGGCAATTCCTAAAGGAGTCGTTGTTGATCAATTTGACACTGTCTATGTGGTTGATGACGGGAACAATCGAATCATGCGTTGGCCTAAAGCAGCCACAGAGGGAAGTATCATTATTGGTGGAAACAATATAGGAAGCGGATCGAACCAACTTAGTGGGCCCGTCGGTTTGTCATTCGATCGGCACGGTAATCTCTATGTTGTGGATTGGGGAAATGATCGAGTACAAAAATTTCAAATCACGTGAACTCAGAACGATTATTAATATTATTTTTTTTGTTCTGTTTCTTTCACAAATACATCGCTATTCAATGAAAAAGAATTAATGGCTAATCTATTCGTACACGCGCGCAATCAGGAATCATCCTGGTGGAGCTGTGGCGACCGTGAAACTCATACACGCACGGGACACTCAGACAGTTCCTGACCGAACTTTTAGGGACTACGCAGACGTCCTTCCGATAACAGAGGCTAACATCAATGGACATGATTCATTCCATCCTCCCCTCACTGACGCTCACTTTGCTAAGTCTAACCCTATTCTTATCTAAAACAAAAGTAAGAAATGATTACTCACTACGTCGAATACTGACCAATGTTGATAAAGACGACATGATGATATTGACGGCTAAATGAAAAAGAAAAAAAAATAAAACGATGAAAAAGGATTAGATAATATACGCTCTGATACATTTTCCTTATTGTTCAGTTCCTAAAATTACCAAAAAGATAAAACGGATCACAGGAGGACTTACCGCCTTCCATATAATTCAAAAGAAAAAAAGTAAATAAATAAAAAAGAATAAAGCAAATACCTACTTTTTTATTGTCTTGTTTGGTATTATGCTGTTTAGTGTTGTATCCTTGAAGTCAATCTAAAATATAAAAACAAAAAATTATTATTTGATTCAAGAAAGGAATAGTTTTATATAGAAAACTATTCATATTTATACCTGATTTTTATTGAGAGAAAAATCACTTTTTTTCTTGCGATTGGAGAATGAGTAAAAGATGAATCTAATTAAGCTCGAATTCGGACACATACGTCGTTAAGATTAATATAATTACAAATATCTCAATGTATATGTATAGATAAAGCTCAATTGATATGCACATTAATTAACTCTTCCCTTCCCCTATATTAGAAGACCCTCCTTGGAAAAAAGTTTGAAAAACATATTACAAGACCCGGGTCTTCTCATCAATCAAGAAGAACTTCAAAAACGTTTTTGTGAAATTTTTTCTGTTTTCATATCCAACTAGCCTGGTAAAAAGTTTTCAGCCTCGTTCAATAATTGGGAGATGGTCTCTGCAGATTAGGAAGGAACCATTAGAAGCTTGAAATTGCATGCTCCTGCTTGGACATAATTATTCTTTACATGTCACTATATATTTTTTTTTTATTGTTCTGAAATGATATTATACCAGTTTCAGTAAAAAAGAGTTGACAAACAGTTTCCAATATTAAGTTTTAAGTGTTTATTGAAGTTTTATTACACTGTTTATCGACTCTTTCCTTGCACTCGAGTTGTTACAGGGATAGAATCGAGTCTTGCTCTACATAGTGTTCGAGTGAAGTAATCAAAATGACTAAGTATACTGATGGGAAGCCATAAGATTATGTTTAAAAATATTATCAAAATTCAGCGTAATAAATGATGGGTGTGGGTGTGGGTGCTGGTTGAGTATGATTGTGGAAAGAACAACACCGACACCGATACCCACACCTTTCTCGATTCAAGTCGACCTATTTTTTCGGCTAAAGGTGTTTTTCCGATTGCTCACTAACTAAAAAGACTTTTTTCCAGAATGTGGTTGAATACTCACGGATTTATCTTACTACGAGCTCTGGAACTATTATCGGAATTTAAAAAAAAGGCCATCGGGCAAAATGCTTATAAATTTTGAACGAAGATAGCTAGAGCCCTGCGGTTTTCGCCATTCGGAAGAGAAGACAAGGGGACGCCTTTTTCTTCAATATTGTATGGGACGAAATCATTTAAAAATCTGTCATTTCTACAAAACATCGAAAAAATGTATAAAAAACGGTCTGCCATTCATTTGAAATTTAGATGAAAAGTAAGAAAATATGCTTAAAAATTAAAAGAACTCTATAGTTTTCGTGCGATTGAATAGACAAGTTTATTTGTTCAACATTAGGAGGTGGAAAGATAATCATTCGAATTATAGGGTGTGGGTGTAGGTGTGGGTGTCGGTGTCGGTGTGGGTATGGGTAGAGATGCACCAGTCCCAGTTCTGACTGGTGAACTGGGTCCCAGCCGGACTGGGTATTGAGTCCCTTGATCTTTAGTCCATTAGTCGAGTAGTACTTTCTTCTTTTCTAGTATATTGTCATACAGTGATTCTTAGACTGTTGAAGTACTGATATAAACTATAACACTGAATCCATTGGTTAATCATATATATCTATATATCAATCGTTATAATTTAAGATACTATAAATAAATTTTCATGTCTTCATGGTGTGGGTGTGGCAATGGTGTAGGTGTGGGTGTTTTGGATGGATGTGGGAGTGGATGTTGTTTGTATGTGGGAATAGTTAGCATAACAATAACGACACCCATACCAACATCAAATCCACCCCCACACCCACATCCTTAGAAAAGAGGGAAGTACTGATCGATTAGCGGAATAAACGTCAAATGACTATGTACCCAGTCCGACTGGGACCCAGTTACTGGCACTGGTGCACCCCTACCCGGTATGGGTGTGGGTCTTCTCCTACCGATACACCTACATCCTCACGCTCGGGCTCACACTCACACCTCTTTTCTATCGTAGATAATGATTCCATTTATTTTGATCGATAACTTGTGTCTTATCACATTAAACATTGGTTGGTCCTACCTTATCTGGTGGAAAAACATTAATTTAGTAATATTCGATTTCACTAACTGTGCTACTCTATGATGTATGAGTCAATAACTACAAAAACATCTACAGATTGTATACTTCTCTGAAAAACTCAACTTTGAAAACTTTGACAAAGAATTTAAACTTCTACTCGGTAATATTACTTTCCTGCAATACATTATCTACTTCACAATATACTTATAGTAAACTCAGGAGATCGAATCGTAACCACAGAAATCAATAACAAAATTTCCCAAACAAAGCTGTTAAAATACAACACTATATTTTTCCTATATCAAGAGGTTAGGCCATCTACAACTCCTTTGAAATTTTCTAAGCTAGAATGAAATCGGTCATGGTAGCTCCACTCACACTCACTTACCCATTGTATATACGATTGGTTTGCCAAATTTCATATAAGCTTGACAATAGAGAACGAGTTCAATTATTTGCACCTGAGTCATCTCTTTCGTATTTCATGTCCATTATCTATTTAGAGCTTTGCTACTAATAGATGATACTGCAGTAGTTGAAAACGATTGAACTGTTAACGCAACTGCGATCCTAGCCTAAACAAAGCATATCATTGAGGCAACTTTGTTTCCATAAACTTTTATGTGGTCTTTTTGGTGGTGTGGATATGGGAATTTATTTCACATCCGACATTCACATCCTCAGAGGTCACAAAAAGAGATTGCCTGTTCGAAATACTGAAAATTGAGATAAAAAGAAAGAAAGAGAGATTTTTTTATCAAACCCGCTTTTACTTGCGTAGATTGCGCTGATATGCTGTTTCTTGAGTTCTGCAGATAAATAGAAAAAAGAACAAAGAAGGCTGTAGCATGGTTTAGTCGCTTCTGGTGTGTATGTGTGGTTGGTGGACAATCTATTCACAAAAAATAAAGCAAAGAAGAGTATATTATCGTTTACAGTCGTCATCGTCGTCTTGTTTATAACAGTTATACACTACTGTATAAAATATGCTTATTTCACATTACGTGGCCCAATACCTGGTATTCTACCTCAATTTTTTTTCGGCAGTTTACTACAGACAGACATCATTTGGCTAGGCAAATCGAAACCAAATGTATATCTCAAGTTCAAAACCCAATTCTGCGATGTTTTTCAATGTTGGTTCAGTTCTACACATATCATTGTCATTAGTTCTCTCGAAGATGCACAACACATTTTTCCCAATCAACATGTATACGATCAAGTAGATCTCTTAATCCAAAAGCTCAGTCTTCTCAATCCAAGTGAAATCTTTTGTTTAAAAGGTCAGAAGAATAGATAAACCATCCTTTTTATTTAACCTAAGAAGGGGTAAAGACTTATCTCACTCTCTCCATCTTGGTCTTCAACAAATATAAAAATGATTTGCCTTATAGGAGCCAAATACAAGCGTTGGGCAAGTGCCACGAATCCATTGTTTCGTGGTAGCAAAGTTCTCATGCATTTAGATATAATTATCGATTGTACAGACAAATTGTTAGCTCGATGGCGTCAAATAGATGATCCAACTAAAACTCATTTGAATATGAACGAACAAACTCGCTAACTTGTACTTGCTATTTTTAGTTTTATTGCATTTGATTATGATCTACAAACACTAGACGATGAATGTGGAAAGAAAAAAACAGAGCTAGTTCGTGCAATGAACATATTCCACGTCACAGCATTCAAAATCCTGAAAATGCCATTAATCATCAACCTTATCTATTGATTTTTTGATCTTAACTACCGACGAGCACGTATAATTATCGATTAGT